CAGCCATAAACTCTGGAAAGGGAGCGAGGTCGCTCTCGAGAATGTCCGGGACCACTATCCCGTCAACCGTCGCCCGCCACTGAACGTGGTCCTAATCAACCTGAGCCAAGTTCCGCAGAGGAATGTGCGTACCATTTATCACCATCTTCTTAAGTCACTTCTCCATGCCCGAAACCTGACTAAGCATCAACAGAGGCTTCTTCTTCTCACGAAGTCCCACGATGTGTCTCCCCATCCTATCGATACGGGTACGGTACTCGTGAATCTCTCCAGCAACCCTATGACGCTCGGCCGCGGCACTCTCATCACGGGCCCTCCTCAGCCTATCGGTCTCGGAAAGATACTGCTTCTTCTTATCCTTAAGCTGCCTCGTAAGATCAGCGCACCTACTCTTCTCCGAATTGTAGTTCCTCAAGTGGCTCTGTGCAGAACGATCCGAAGCCTCAGCAGCAGCCTTCGCCGAGTCAGAGTCTCTCGCCGCGGCACGACACTGCTCATCGTAGAAACCAACCAAACGGTTGGTCTGACTCATCGCCTGCAGAAACGAAAATCTCATAAACTACACTTAATGAAATCAAGTAGGTTAGACTCAGCAAAGTCTCCGCGAACCTTGCTAGCAAGATCAGCACATGCAGCTCCATGAGTGAAAAACATCCGATCCCTCCGACCATAGTTGAAGGAGAATGAATGGTCGACTCCTTCGGCGATCTCACGAATGGGCTCCTCGCGCCTAGCCTCCCGGCGAACACTCGAACCTCCGATAGGACTTCCACGCGAGCTCCTCTTCCGAGACGTATCTCCTCGACCGGACGATGGCGGAGCACTACCACTTGCGGATCTCGAAACCTTCTTCCCGTCGCGTGCAGCCTTCACTTCCTCAGATCTAGCCCGGCGCAAGGCGTCACGATCGTCAGCAGGCGCAGCAGCATCCGTGGTCTCCACCGCCACGTCCACGTCACCAACCGGAGCGTCATTCCCAAAACCGCACTGAAATGAAGCGTTGGGTAACATCATAGGGCCAAGCTCGATCTGCGGCTCGTCGACCTGCGTGCCGTCTCCGTCGAATTGATCGGCATAATCAGGAATCTCGCAATCACCCATCCTAAGACAAAACCGAGAACCTGCAAGACATTACGTTGTAAGAAACGAAATACGAATCGAAATACAAGGAAACGAAACAAAGATAAGAAACTAACAAGTGTTGAAATGATTAAGTATATCCGGCCACCACAAGGTCCTTCTCGCCTTCACCGCTGCAACTCTCGCTCGAAAGTCTTCGGTGTCCTCTGCCGTCGGCCCAAACTTTCCTGCAAAATCAACATAAGAATACCGGTTAGAGAAGCGTAGGAAGATTAGATCACACGATTTCGGACCAACTAAGAACTACCGCGATCTAGGTTCCACGTTCTAGCATATGGCAAGCTGAGATCTTCGACGGAAAGCTCGGTTACTTTCACAAAAAAGTAATACTTGCGCCACCTGCGAACTTTGCTTGCAGCACCATCGACAATTCTGAAACCCGGCCTCGAACTAGCGCAGCACATGCCCGGATTCTCCTTTCCAAACAGGTACTTGGTAAACTCTTCAAAAAGATCTAAGTCCACGACAACACCTGCCGCGGCGGCAAGGATTGCGAGACCCACCGCGTTCCGAATAGAAGCCACGGTGAGTTGAGAAAATGCTATCTCCCGACGAGCACAGTAACTAGCGAGAAACTGCGGGAGTGGAAACCAAAGACCGCAATCCGAAAAGAAATCTTCGTAAAGACAAATATACCCCTCCGGAGCATCCCATGGGCGACGACGCGATTTCGGGATCAGAATCTCAATTCCCGGTTCTATCCCGCACGCCTCAAACATGTCAAACACGGATTTTTCTGTGCTAAGAGATTTTCCCTTGTCTCGACGATCGAGAACATTGGCCATCCCATCATCCAACGTGGGCTCAACTCTCCCATCTTCGGGGATCGCACTAGAAGCCCTTAAACCCGAAACTATAGACCGATGAAGATTTCTCGAACTCGAACCGACAACATCTTCGAGCACCTTCCCACGGCGAGTACTTGGCTCCCCGGGAACTATCATACCCCCATTGCTGCACGACGGAAGCAATCCATCAAGATTGCGCACGTCCTCCTCCGTCAAATCTCCGAGAGTCTCTTCGGAACCACTGAAGCCAAGCCAGGCGGCGTGAGTCCCACCGTAATCATCCGCAAATCCACGTTCAAATTGGCGATAGTCGTCTCTTTGCAGCTCGTCCGGAACGCTATCAAACAGATCGTCTCCACCGACATGATTTCCCGCGAACTGAGACATCGATACCTTGCAAAAGTAACCAAGGACCGTGTCAAAATCTAGAAGTCGAGAAGTGTCTCAAAACTTTTGTATCCCGCCAAATCCATGATTTCGAATTCCCGTCACGAGCCAACTTTTCACCAAACTGACAAACTCAACGCGATACAACGATGCAAATCTCCCCATGGTAGAGTTGGGGCACGGTGGGAGATCGAACGAGTAATCGTCACCACCTCGGCTAAGTTCCAGATCGACAAGCAAGTTTAGTCACGATCGATCCACGACATTGCATCTCTTCGCCATCTCATCTCGGTGGCATAGTCAAGCCACCTCGCCGCGGCCCGAGATTTCACCATGACCATCTCTCGTCTCGGTAACGTTCCGGAAGCTCCGCCATGGCACGGCACCAACACCACATCATCGTGACGCCGTCTCGGAAACCATGTCACAATCGCATTTCGGCAGCACTGTGAAACACTTGGGCACGGCAATAACTATGACGAGACATTATCACCACAACGGCCAAGTCTCGGCCCCAACAGCACCTCATCACGACCTCTCCATGGCATCATCTCGCCGCGGCACAACGAAAACTCCAACACGGCGCCACTCCTCCGAGACAAAGTAATGGGCACGGCCGCTTCACCCACCGCCACCACCTCGCCACGGCGCTAGGAGATCGCCGCAGCTAACGGTTCACCACGACAGCAGCGGCCTCGTCACAACCTCATCCCGTCGCGCCCGAAGTTCCGCCAGCCACAACTCACATAAGCCCTACACGGTACGGTCTCGTCAGCAAAATCGTGCCTCTGCCGCGCCCGTAACTCAGTCGTAGCACCATCTCTACATGACGACGAATCAAGCACGGCCATCTCGACGACGCCTCAGCTCGGCGGTGCCTCATCCCGGCGGATCCGTCGTAACACATCCTCAACGACCTCGTCTCGGCACGGCAGCTCTGCCCCTCCACCGCGGCCCAGCTCGTCTCGGCTGTGTTCTCCAACTTCGCCACGACCTCGTCACGGCAGATTTGCTCCTCCACCACGGCCCAGCTCCTCTCGGCGATGTTCTCCAACTTCGCCACGGCCTCGCTCGTCTCGGAAGCAACTTCGCCCAGTCACGCCCCGTCTCGGCAGCGTTTCGGCAACACCGTGTCAAGATCTCGATGCTACGAAGCCAAAGTCACGAGAAGACGCCGCCAGGATCGAAATCGTCATGTCACCACCACGCGTCTGCCGGCTTTGTAGCAACGGAGTGAAGAAATTGAGCGCGAGGAAGAAAAGAAGTGACCGTGGGTCTGAGGCGGCGAGAACGACAGCAGATCCGCCGAGAAATCTCAAGTGGAGAGGACAAAGCAAGCTTTGAGGAGAGATGTCGTTGTTGTTTCTTGATTCGAAAAGAGAGACGCGACCAAACAAAAATCAAAGCAAAGGAGAGAGAGAAGAGAGAGAAAAAAGAGATTTTACCTTTTACAGAGGGAGAAGAAGTCAAAGAGTAAAGAAATGGAGGAGGAGACATATATATAGTGGGGGACCCAGCGCGTTTACCGAGGTAAAAACACATGACCTAATTTTTACCATAAACCTAGCTCCCGCGCCTCGTGAAGCGTGCCAAGTCCCGAATCATCCCGAGAATGATCCGTTCTTCCCGGAAAATGTGCCAAGTCACTATCCATCCCGAGAATGATCCGCTATTCTCGGAAAACGTGCCAAGTCACTATTCATCCCGAGAATGATCCGCTTTTCTCGGAAAACGTGCCAAGTCACTATTCATCCCGAGAATGATCCGCTCTTCTCGGAAAACGTGCCAAGTCACTATTCATCCCGAGAATGATACGCTCTCTCCGAGAAATGCGCCAAGACATCACAAGAAGATTTGAAGTTCTAAGTATGCAGCAAGGCAATTCAAAGTCTCCGCAAACTTGCCCATCTTGTTTTACGACCAACTATCCCACGCCCGAAACCAGCCCGTCAAGCTCAAGAAGACTCTCGCAAATCGGACTAAAGGGGGGGACTATTGTTGGATATGGGCCTTGCCCCTTCCAAATTAGAAGGCCTACAAAACAAGATGTGCCAATTAATGAAGCCTTTTACCCAAAAACAGGCCCAGCACCTTCGCAGGGGTAAAACCGTCATTCGCCAAGGAGACACAAAGAGTTTCTAGGTTTCTGTGCAACTATAAATACATTAAACCACTGTTTGGAACAGGGATCGGTCCAGAGGTTATTATCCACCAGACTGAGAATCGTGCCGCGCCCGAACTCGCCCTAGCCCGAGATTCCCGCCGCGACTCTCTTTCTCGTGATTTTGCACTTCTGTTTCGTATTAGCTTCTCAGCTCGGCAGATAGTCTATAACTGCCGCAGCGAGACTTCTCTCTTTGTAACTTCGGATTTTCCGCAAAAGCTAATAAAGAAAATTGTTTCGTATCGTCCCAAAAATCTCGTATCATTATTGTAGCTGCTCCCCCCTTGCACAAACATTACCATTCAGTAATTTAAATTTATACAGTATAGTTCCTTCAAGAATTTTGTTTTTTTCCCTTTGTGATTTGTAAACAAGTTTTAAAAATATATACCAAATTTATAACAATTATCATCATTAATATATTTTTGGAAAAAAAAGTAAAAAAAGATACAAAAAGTTCGAAAGGTTTTCTTAAATAGCTAAAAACCATTATTTCATTAAGAAAAATACAAAGGAAATACGAAAAGATACCCACACACATACGCAAATAAAAACAGTAAGAAAATACAAACACTAATCAAGTTCCACAGTCTCTCCATTGAACAAACTCCAAAGATTCTCAACATCAAACGCCATAGTGTTCCCTTGTTCACTTGTCGTGGCTTCGGGAACTATCGCATCTGGTTCTTGGATCTCGTCGAGTAAATTCTCCAACCACATATTATCTTCAATTATTAGATTATTAATAAAATCATCATCATCTTTGTCAAAGGTGATACTATTCTCACAAACATCGTTGTTGTTGAGTCCATTGCTGGAAGGAATTACATCAACTTCGGGTTGGCCGTTCAGATGGCTGCAGAAAGGATTGTTAGCCGTGAAGGATCGAGGTCGGGGCTTAAAAACATTGATTTTTTGGACCATTGTTGTAGTAGGATGGGAAATTATGTTTTTCTTTCTCATTTTAGTCTTACAACATGATTCAGTTTTCTTACTCAAATGTGTGTTCCAGTAGTTTTTGACATCATTAGCGGTCCGACCAGGCAATCGACCAGCAATCAAGGACCACCTAAACATTGTTAAAAATGTATACATATAAGTTTCTAAGTGTTGAACATATATATATATGTCTCTCCAAAATAGTTAGTATTGAGTTAAGAGTACCTGTTTCCTAGAAGCTTATGAAGGCGAATAAGGAGATCAACTTCATCAGTGCTAAGCTTTCCTCTCTTGATACGTGACATCAATTACTATTCCTACTATGCACACCAATAGAATATTTTATTCCTACTAGTCCCATCAAATCATTGAACAACGTTATCGGTTGTGTGTAAGAAACTGACTATAGATTTATATGTATAAATGTTTTTTTATCTTTAGTTTTTTTAAAAAGAAAATTTGCGGTTAGGTCCAACATAAATATGAACAGCATAAAGAACTTTTCATGAATAAATTTTTTGTTTTACTTTACTAGCATGAAATAATGTTTAGTTCATTAAAACCACAAGGAGAATATTTTTTGTGTGTGTGTGTAAATACTAAATAAACCATACCAGCTCTTAAAGGAACTTGATGCCATTTGCCTTCTCCGTACTTATCAATACACTGCTTCAAGAGAGCATCTTCTTCGGCAGTCCAAGCTCCTTTTGTCAACCCTTTGGACGAACCCTCCATGAACCAAAGATGAAAAGTAAAATATAATAAGAAAAGGTAGAGGAAGAAGGGTTCCCAAATCCTCGGAGAACTTATTGATAATATAATGTGAGCATGTAAACGAATATGTATATATATACACGTGAAGGGCTTAGGGTAATGACGTGCATGTTTGATATCCACATATCATGAATTAACAGTCGTGCTTTAGTTTGCTAAGTTATAGTTTGGTTACTGATTTGACTAGAGAAAAAGGTTCATTGCACCTTCTTTACATACTTCAGAATAAAAAAGAAACATGTTTCTTAACAAAATTAGGAGAAAGGACGTTTAATGATTGGTGGAAAGATGGTTAACATGAATACAAGACAGTATCATAATAGATGAATAAGGTGGCTGCATAAAGATAAGCTATTCTTCTCTTTATTTTTTGTTTTTTTTTTTTCGTTTTAAAGAACTTTAGAGTGTATTCATAGATTGCAAATCTTACAAACTTTTAGACTATTCACAAGCTCATATTTCTTATTATCTTTGTTGCTTATTTTGCCAAAGAAAACTTTTGGCTGCACGTTGCGGCCACTATAGATGTAACAACCCATCCCGGTGGGAACCCTTACCACATGGCACACCCCGCCACATGGCAGGTACAAGCGCTGCAGCGCATCGACCCTAACCTCTCTCCTGTGGGCCCAAACTGCGCAGCCCACTTGTTCGCAGCCTCTTGGCCCACCAGGTAGGTTATTGGTGCGCCTGGCGTTCCTCGAACCCAGGTTCTCACCCTTTAACAACCTTCTCACCGGACAAGTTGTTATCTGCAGGTCAGTTGGTAACAATTTGTCCGGTGGGAAGGTTGTTAAAGGGTGAGGACCTGGGTTCGAAAAATGCCAGGCGCACCAATAACCTACCTGGTGGGCCAGGAGGCTACGAACAAGTGGGCTGCGTAGTTTGGGCCCACAGGAAGGAGGTTAGGGTCGATGCGCTGCAGCGCGGTAAGAATGCCATGTGGCGGGGTATGACACATGATCCCACTGGACGGGTTGTTACAATAGAGTTGAGGTTGAGGCTTTATAACATCGAGTCTTTTGATCGGTGAGGTCGCTGAACAAGTAGTTTCCCTCTTTCTCCTTTTTCTCTTGGTTCATCTTTCTTATTAAAATGGGAGTTCCAATAATTCTTGACATCATTAACTAAGTATATGCATTTTAAAAATTCGTAAAATGACTTAGTATTGGAGCATTGCATTATGTAAATAATTTGGTTTGCATTTGAAGAATAAAAATATGTTTCTTAGAAGCTTATGAAGACGACGAAGAAGACCAACTTGAGCTAAATTTAGCTCAAGTAGTTCAACCATCTTATTCTACAGCTTTTCTTGCATCGGTTTAACCCTACATACATAACTAATCATTACGATCTTTACCATTAAGTATACCTAGCTATGTCACATATACTATATTCTATAGGGCCTTTATACACATAGATACACTTGTTAGTTCGTTTACTGGGAGACAAACCTACGAGTTCTCATTGCGTTGTCTTAAGTGTTATATCTTCATCAGCACCCCATGTACCTTTCTTCAACCTATTGAACGAACCCTCCATGAACCAAATGTAACTATTAAAAAAGTATAGTATGATCTAACCAAATTATATAAACTCATATAAGTATATGGCCAAGTAAGAGGGTATTTATATATCGTTGCTTCACAAACCCTGGAAGTCTTTTGACAATGTGAGTATCAGAGTATGTGAGCGAATATGTATACACGTGACGGGCATAAGGAAATGACGTGCATGTTTGATATCCACATTTCATGTCAAAGCGGTGGTGCTTAGTTTGCTAAGTTAATTTGTTCTGATACCTAGACAAAGGTTCGTAGCACCTAGTTTTAGTCTCTCCATCCCTTTTCAGTACTTGAAAACCAAAGCATGCTTCTTAACAAAATTAGGAGACATACTTTCTCCAATTATAAATTAGGAGTAATTAATTAAAATCGGCTTGGAAAAAGCTGTGGGAAAAAAAAATGATTGTATCTTTCAATCTTATCTATGTGTGGTTTTATATGTTTTAATAACTATGAGATTTTGGGTTGAGGTCCTTTTCCTTCCGTACCATCACAAGACTGGTCGTTCTTGGGCTTAACAGCCCCTAATAACAGTGTACGTTTTGCCTAAAATACTTAACCAATTAATTGAACTATTGGTACTTGATTGTGTGTGTGTGTGTGTGTGTGTGTGTTTATATATTATTAGAGGATTCTTGATCATTACAAGACATCCCAAAATTAATTCCATAACATCTTCTAGTTTTCTCTTGTATTCTTGCACAAAAAAGGAAAAGATTAGAAGTGTTTTAGTGAAAAAATCTAGGTAGTTCTTCTAGTTTTTATATCATTTTACCAGATCAAAATATAAGGGATCATCACATCAACATGATGCAGAAGCATTACTCAAAACATGATAACAAGAAGAATGTAGTCATCTATACCTATCTTAGTATCTCACATGGGTACGAATGCAGACATTACTAAAGTCTTGAAATTCATGGGACGCACGTTGTTGTGTAACCCGAATCGTCGGATTCTACTTCAGCGGAATTGAAAGAAACTAAAGAAGAAATCTTGATGACCTTAAAAATAAAACAGACTTAGATTGAACTTTGTCTATCATTTTCTTCCTTAGATTTTTTCAAATGGAGTCAGTGATAATTCCTTACACTTAAATAAATCACCATGTCTCGTTACACTTCATTGATTCAATTCAAAGTTACTATGATCTTATCTTTTAGTTGGAACTGCATCGTCCCAAATGGTTTGATATTTACCTTTGTAATGCGTTAACTAAATAATGTCTTCCTTTTTTCATTTAGCTTCTCCAAATATATATGCTTGTGTCGTGCATAATTCATATCATCCGTTTTGCATTAGATAGCATATTCCATGCAAGTAGAAAACGAGGTGTACTTTTTTTTTTTTTTTTTGAAGCCTGAAAAAGGCTTTAAATTCGGGCCTGTAATATGATAACAAAGCCCACATGAACAAACCCACCTGAAGGCCCATGGCATTGGCATTACATAGTACTACACATAGTACATTCAGATTTCCGTTAGATGTGATTCAGTAGAGAAGAAAAAGAAAGGTCAAAAGAATATGCGGTACCGGCCATAATGGTATTGGTCATGATAAGAGAATTGTCTCGAGTCTTCAACTCAGTGCATGTTATATTTGAACGGTTCTCAACTACATGTTCGAGAGTTACAAGATGCTTGAGGGCCTATTGGCATTTTACATGAATGCATAAAGGAATATAAAAATATCTAATGTTTGGCTATGAAACCAAGTTGTATTAGCATATGGGTGGGATAGATCCTCTTTACTTGATCTTTTCGTACTTAATTAGGCTTTTGTGTGTGTGTGTAGGGTTCGAGCTAAGTGCTTAGTGTACAAAAGATGGTAGAGGCCATCGAGTATTTCAAATTTGGAGATTGTCTTGGCATTATTATTCTAACAATTTATTCATGAATTGAATTGTATAAGTTATATTGTCTCATTTTTGGATTGAATAAGTTGTCTTATGTAATAACGTAACTTATAATTAAAAAAAAGTTGGGTTAAATAACACATGGGATATATAACTTAGAACTTGGTTGTTTCATTTATTAACCAGACCCTATAAGTGCCCTGTGCCCCTTCCGTCTCAATTTAAGGAATGTTTGTTTTTGGTAAGATCAATTTAAGGAATGTTTTAGCCCCCAAAAATTTGTCTCATTTTAAATGATGTTTTCAACTTTCTATGCAAAAATTAAATGTGTTTAATATTTTTTGACCAATCATATTTAATATTTTACTTCTTATTTTCTTATTGGTTGAATTCATTTCAATTAATAATATTTTTATAGAAACAAAAGAAATTATATGTTTTCTTAATATGTGAAACAACCTTTAACATCACTTAAAATGAAACTGAAGGAGTATAATACTTGCAACCTCAACCTTTTTTTTTTTTTTTGATAACTCAGGAGTGATCCCAAAGGCTTTCTAGGCCCAAGGACTAATCTCCTGGAGCCGGGGGAAACCATGTTAAATCTCGAACTCCCGTGGCCAATGCTACTCGAACCCAAGTGGCGGGACTTACCTCCCTTTACACTGGACCAAGGCGACTTGGTTATTGCAACCTCAACCTTAAGATACACGTTCACGAACATTTCAAGATATCTATGACAAAGCATTTTTTGCTGAGATAACTTTAGGGTTCATTGTTTTTTTCTTTTTTTTTGTCTCCACGAAATACGAAACTAAATACGTGCAAGACTACTGCCTTAATTGTTCAATCACTTTTATCTTGTAAAGACTTAATTATAAACAACTTAAAAAAAGAAAAAAAAGTATTCAAAACCTTTTTAAGAAAACAAATTATTCCCAAATTCACCATCGCTAAAAGCCCTCACAACTTGGAATGTTTGCGCATGAATTATGTTGTAAGAGAATTTGTCAATATTTTCAATATCTTTATTTTTATCTCTTGCATTCTTTGACAAATAAAATATGGTATTTAAGAAAATAGAGAATCATTTTGTTGTCTAGCAAACAAGAGATTACTTTCAACCATTTTTGAAAATCATACTTTTTCCAACTTAACTAATTATGGGATGGGTGATTTTTCAGTTTCCACCGTAACATTTTTTCTTACTATACTATTTTTTCTATTATATATAAAAAAATTGTTTCCAATATTATCTTAGACTTTTATACTTTTTATTGTATTTAGCGCATTTCATATTGATTTATCTTTCCAAAAAGGAACGTGTTACTTTTTTTATATAATTGTTTTTTACATATAAGTATATAACATTCTCAAACTATTTTCTAATAAGAACTTGAACAATTATCATTTACGTAAGTACAACTTAATTTATTTTCTGCCTTCACCTGACCTAAGTTTTACAACCGTTTGCACAGTAATTTACTGTTTTCGATATTGAAAGAGCAAATCTAAAAATCTAAAATCTTCATAGATTTTGAAATATATATGACCAACGACTTTTAGACGATGTATATATCCACGGATCCACCATTCTCCATGCTTCTAAAAGCCACCAAACCTTCCTCGTCCAAATTTTCAGTTGTTATATTTTTCTTTTCTGACTTTATTGACACATACATGTGCACCAATGATATTAGATCTTGCTTAGAAAAAGATATAATATATTCTATTTACCATTCGTCTGGTTGAAAAATACATGATATCCGTAACAGTTGGGTACGGATATCAAACTACTTCTTGAGTACGTTACTTCTTGAAAAATTTCATAATATCTGTAAAAATACATGATATTCATACCCTACTTCTTGGGTACATTTTAATATAACTCAAAATTGTGCGTCAAACTAATTTTATTTGCTACTCCTTCGGTAACGTTTTAATATACATATGTATAATCATCAAATTATCGTATCATAATCATCAAATTACTATAACCATATGTATAATCATAATCGTTAAATCGATTAGTAATCGTGTATAACCGTAATTAATTTAATTGTTTATACAACGGCTAAATTTATAAACAAAATAAAAAATATAACCGTAACCGTACTCATGCCTGCCTTCACACTCTAAAACATCATAACTGAAAATTAGGGTTAGTGGTTCGTCGATAATACCAGATATTACTATGGCTTGGTTTACCTGGTTTGCCGTATGAGACATATCGATCGGTTTAACATACGGACAATTAAAAAGACAATAGAACAAAACCAGCACCATCACTTCTACTTTTTTTGTCTTTGTAGTTGTACTTATGTGAGGAAGTAAAGTAATAAAAATATATTTAACATATTATGATAAATATATCTGGATCACGAAGCAGATTATTTTGACGAAAGAACGTAAACATAAACAGTTTATGTTCTTTTAAATTCAGTAAACATAAACAAAACGTTTAGTCGTCTGATGAACCGGAGGAGATTATGTTCTGGATCATCTTGTTTGTCTCTTCTTCCGACATTGGCTTATTTTTCGTATGCTTCTGCTCGTACGTCTCAAAGAACTCCTTGTTCTCTTTTGCCAACTCCTTCCAGACTATTTTTATTTCATTGATCGTGAGCATAACATAGGGGAAAAAAACACAATAATTAACCACGAGTCTGTGGGAAAAAAAACTAATTAAATAACACAATAAGGATTAAATTTCATCATTAGCTGGTGAAAGTATCGAATTAAATAAAGGGGACATATTGACCAAAAATAAAATAAAAATAAAAAAAATAAAGGGGACATATTATATTTATATATATATATATAATGTATATAAAAAGTAGTATAAATACAAACATGTTGAAAATTAAGACAACTTCTGATATTTATATAAATATCTTATTATATAACAATGTCCATGGCCAATTTAAGGAGAATAATGCATCAAAATGTATAGAAAAAGGAGATCGAAGAGAGTTCCGAACCAGTGGACGTGATGATGGGATTGATGTTAGCATTCTTAGAGAGAGCTTCCATGCATTCCTCTTTGTTCATGTTGAAGACCAAACATGTCTCTATCATGTGTTGCACCTGTACATACACATGACACAATACGATTAATCACTTTTATATTAAAATATAAGGAAAACGAAACATATACTTGTAATGTTCAGATGGATTCTATGATTTATTACCATGTGAATAAATGCAGCGGGAGAAGAACAGTCACACATTTTTATAAATAACTGAATTGGACCTTAAAATAAACCCTTTACATTCAAATTAAGAGGCTCAACGATCATTTATACAACAGCTCGTAGGTAGAAGAACATAAACAGTAATGTAACCACATGTGGCCACAAGTCTCACACGTAGAGGATTGATTATAATTGGACGAGAAAGGATTAGAAAAGATTGGTAAAAATGGCACTCATTTCTAGCTCTCTTCACGCTTTGTTTGTTTCCATTTCAAATATCTCACGCTTTGTTTGCTTCGTTTGAAGCAATATTGGGCCCTCTCTCTTACTCCTCTCGACTTCTGATCCTTTTGTTATGTTTTAGATTCCATCACAAAGTCAAGTCAAGTTCCGAAGAAAGAATATTTTGGCGATGAACATGTTAATGCAAAGACAACTTTTGTTAGGTGTTTTTGCATTTTTAGAAGAAAGTTAGAAAATGAAAATAACAAAAAGTAAAGTGTCCTAAAATGTTAGAGAGATTCTACCTAGAGACACGTTAGAGAGATTCTACCTAGAGACAAAAAGTAAAGTGTCCTAACAATTTAATTGGTAAGAACCTTGAAAAGTAACATGGCTAGGTAAAAAAAAAGTTATAATTTATAAAGTCTAAATAATTATATTTACTTTTTAGTATTAACCACTTGTGATGCCTCGTACATTGAAAATTCCATAAACCAAATAATAGCAAAACTCATACTGTACAATAACCTATGACTATTTTGGCAGTTTGCTCCTTCACTGTCTTTTCTATTGTTGTCGAATATCGAATAAAAATCTTTTGTCAGCGTTAATACATTTTATTTTTTCTTCCAGCCTATGACTACTTGGTGCTCTTAACTTATTATTTTAATTGTGGTCCTTCACAATTGCCATTTTCCAACATGTACACTAGCAGGGCCTCACGAGTCTTGAGGTTTTGTAGAAAGCGGAGATTATGACCCAACTCTTTTTTCATGTAATAATTCCAAAATCTTACATTGTTGAGAAATCCCCAAAAGATTTGTAATCCAGTAGCTTGCTCTCGAAATTCTTACCATCATAAGTTTCGTGCCTTTAGTCTTAATTTGCTTCATTTCAAGGGATATGAAAGACCGAGGAAGATACAAAGAGACCGATTGATTTTGGTTTTGTCTTTAGGAAGTATGGAGTTGTAGGCTAAGGCTTAGTATACTATATTTCTATAATCCCTTAGTAACTGCATCAACTTAACCTAATGTGGTTTACCTTGGTATGTAGAATTTGATTAACGCATCAACTTAACCTAATGTGCATACTACCACAATCGAATGACATATCGATGTAGCACTTTAGATCAAATTCATGACCGATCATAAATTTTACTACCTACTAAGAAATGGATAAGTGAAAATAGAATATACAAATATTTAAGCTCCGATGGATTCAAACATGTTTTTTCTAATGAGCTCCGATGGATGCAATAATCGAAATATTTTTTTGGTTCTGCATGAGCTCAAAAGCTCTTGTTTAACCCAAGTAGTGTGGCCTAGAAAAGATATATTTATATTGTCGGTCGTTAAGTGAGATTTGATATGAAATGTTGAGAAAACCATCGTCACCTAGTAAAAGCAATGTAGATTACTCGTTTTAATATCTTTTTAATAAAGAAATTTAACAAATTTTGGTATTTTCTTTTATTTTTGTTTACAAAAACTTTTTGGACAATAAACATGAAATTTTTTATCTCCCATGTTTCAATAAAAATATATGGAGGTTTCGTTTACTTAAAGACCGAACAATAGGCCAAAGTGAGCTATGCCTCTATATTCCTTAAAAAACCCTTTTTATCTATGAATTTGAAATTCTTTACTGATTTTATTTTCTTTTATTGTTGTGTTTAAATGGCTTATCAAAGTGATCTCGTGGATTGATTACGAGCCAAAAGCTCGGAAACAAAAAGGCTCAACGTAGTAACCTTTTCAATCTCCCTCATTAAACAGAATCCAAAGTTTCTGAACGTCAAACAATGAAGACATTGACTCCATCGAAGTAATATCTGCCTCGTCATCTGTAATAGCTACTGGACCATCTGTGTATGCCTCTTGGTTCTGTTCTAGCAAACTCTTCCACCACATGCTCTCTCCATCTATTTGACTGTTCAAAAGTTGAGATTGCTCCTCATCATTGTTGCTTACTTGGAAAAGGCCAACTTCTGTTTGCCCGTTGAGTTGGCTGCGGCCATTGTATGATTGAGTTTGATGCTTTGTGACGCTTAGCTCTTGAGCTTGTGAGGCAGCTGAACAAGCAACATCTCTCTTTCTCGTTTTGCTGGTAAAACGTGGTTCTTGCTTCTTACCAAGATGAGTTTTCCAGTAATTCTTGACATCATTCGCGGTTCGACCAGGTAATCTACCAGCAATCAAAGACCACCTATGAATGCATTTGAACAAATCTTAATGACTTACGTTCTCTAAATATTTTTGATGTCTTCCGGAAATTTATATATGAACCTGTTTCTTAGAAGCTTATGAAGGCGAAGGAGAAGATCAACTTCATCAGAACCAAATTCTCCTCTTTTGATATTGGGATTCAAGTAGTTCAACCATCTTTCTCTACAGCTCTTACAGCTACGGTTTAGCCCTACATAACCAACAATTGAGATTATACCTTAAAGCATGTAAAATTGATTGTGTACCATTTGTAAATTAATTCTAAAACTTTTAGTTCAATAAGAATATAAATGGTTGGTTATATGGATATACCAGCTCTTAAAGGAACTTTGTGCCATTTGCCTTCTCCATACTTATCAATACATTGCCTCAAGAGACTATCTTCTACAGCAGTCCATGCAGCTTTTCTTAACCCTTCGGATGAACCTTCCATGAACCAACGGTCGAGTTAAAATTATATCTATCCAAATTTCGTAAGAAGTAATGTAGATGTATTGTGGCTTCACAAATCCGAGGATGACTTATAGAGAGTGTGAGGGGCTAGCTAGCTAAGATAAGTGACGTGCGTGCTTGATATCCACATTTCATATGCTTTTATCTTGTTCGGATGATTAAGACTGGAAAATATCTTACTAGTTTATAGCGTTTATGTTCTTCTTTGTACAACTTCTTAACATTTTCTAAGAAATTTGAATCTGTATAACAAGTAAACAATATGCACAAGCGAACAATATTTCATTACTTTGGTAACGTATTTGAATTGTTTAACAAGTAAAAAATTGTTTAAACTACTCTTTTCCCCCTCTTTTAGCAATGTATTTGAATTCATTACTGTAAATCATTAGTGCAACAATATTAGATTTAAATTAAAAAAGTAAGTAATATTATTCGATGTTAATTAATATTTAAAACCCATATTTGTATAACATACGATTTACTTCAATTACAAAAAAAAATAACAGAAATTTCTTATTTTAACACTATTCATTCTAAATGTTTGAATGAAATAATATTTTACGTTGATGATAAGATTACCTTAGTTCTATTATGATTTTGTTAATTTATTCCTATTATTATGGTTTATGAACTGATGACGCGTTTTAAGCACAGACCTTAGTCAATGTAGGAAAATAGATGGAAATGATTTCTATGGTATTGACTTTGGCAAATTTTTAAGTTTTTTTAGGCTTTTATTTCGGACCATTTAAGGAAATAAATATATCTAGAAATGGAAATTTTAGATATATTTTTCTTAAAACACGACACTTCTCTTTGGTTTTGACTGAATTTTAGTAGGTCCTTATAATAGGCCAACCACTTCATAGGTCGCTTCACCCCACAAAAATTTTAATACACACCAAAAAAAAAATTGATATAAATTTTTTGCATTTGAAGAGACAAGGCCAAAAGCTTTCTTCGATCTAAAGAAGGAGAAGAGATGGAGAATCTATTAGGTCTTCTAAGACTTCATGTGATTAGAGGTGTGAATCTCGCCATTAGAGATTCTCAAAGCAGTGATCCTTACGTCATTGTCCGAATGGGTAAACAGGTAACCTAATTTTTCATTTGATCACTTAATAATCTAGCCATCATTGTTCGTATGGTTTTGGAACTAATGGATCTGGTTTTATATGCTTCCCAGAGATTCTGATGTCATTACTTAATGAAGAAACTATAATACTATTTTCCATAGATCTAAATAAACTTTACAATACATTTTTCTTTTTCAAATATTGTCATTACCAAGGCCTCACTTATTTATGTGCAGGGGCGGATCTAGAAAATTTATTGAATGGGGGCAAAAATATAGTAAAAAAACTATCAAATACTAAATTATAAAAACAAAAAAAATATCATACAAAACTAAAATAAATTTAACTCCTAGAATGATACCAAAATTGTGATCCTTGCTTGTATCGTCTATCACCCATCCGTTGAATGGTTGTGAAAAACAAAATAACATGTTATTAATTAAAAATTTTAAATTTATAGACTTATAGTTTAAAATTTATGAATTTTATATTTATTGAATTATGTAACAAAATTCCATAAAAGCATAACCATAGAATAAAAATATAAACAATTATCACTGTAAAAACTAATATAGTCATGTATAACATAAAAACCTATATAATGTTTCTAGGAAACATAATTATAAGCTTGAACTGATTAAATAAAATTAACTGACTAAAAAATAATACTTATAAAATAGAAACAATTGTATAAAAAGCAGGAAAATAAACTCACCAATTGATAGTTGTTGATTTGTTGTCACGCAAACAAAGAAACCAGAGGACTAAAAAGAAGAGAATAACAAAAAATTAGGTCTAAGTTAGTAGGTCTTTAATTTATATATTAATGTTTTTTGATACATGAATTGATATTGGTTTTCCAAGAAATAAAAAGAAAAGTAGTTTTTTGTATTATTTTAGTGGGGACATATTTTGTTTTTTTTATATTTTTTTAATAATTTTCCAAGAAATAATTTTTTTTAACAATTTCCTTCGCTGTGGGTCCGCCCCTGTTTATGTGTTGAAATGAAACAAAAACAAACTTTTCAAATGTGACTTATTTATTTGTTAAAATGAAACAAAAACAAACTTTCAAATGTGAAGTACTGATTTTTTTATTTTTTTTACAATTAGTGCATCATTTAAATAAAAATTAACAGAAAAAATGTAAAATAAACTTAACGCCTAGAATGAAACCTAAATTGTAATCCTTGCTTGTTAGTCTATCACCCATCCGTTGAATGGTTGTGAGCTCATTTCGGACCTCTCGATCAATCAACCGAATCAAGTGGGCTGTAGTTTGCGGTGTTTCACCATGTGAAGTACTGATTTTTTCAATATCACTTTAAGAAGGCCAATGAGAATTTTCCAAGGATTTGATAATCAAATTAAATTAGTACAAGTTTTTTATTTTGTTTATGTATATCTTATTTATATTAAGGATTATGTTTTTGTCCTCTTCTTTGTGGACGCAGAAGCTACGAACCCGTGTGATGAAAAAGATTTTAAATCCAGAATGGAATGAAGACTTGACACTTTCTATTAGTGATCCAACTCTTCCTGTCAAGATCGTAAGTGATTCCTATATGACAACTACTCTATCTTTTCTCAGTTTAAACAAAAATAAAACACTATAAACACTATTCAAGATCATATTGAATGCTTGATGCAGATGGTGTACGATAGGGACTGGTTCTCTAGGGATGATAAGATGGGAGATGCGGTGTTCTACATTGATCCGTTCCTTGAAGCCATCAGAATCCAAAACGAACTTGGAGGACTACCGGATGGGACTGTGATAATGAAGATTCAGGCAAGTAGACAGAACTGCTTGTCAGAAGAGAGCAAGATTTTGTGGAACAAAGGAAAGATTGTCCAAAATATGTTTCTTAGGCTTCAGAACGTTGAGCGAGGGGAGGTCCAGTTGCAGCTTGAATGGATTGATGTCTCGGGCGCTATGTGTATATAGAAGGATTTTGCTTTTTAGATCCATTTTATACAATTGCCTTATCCACAGAGACTATTCTTTAATTTATTTACTATGCATTTTTTTTAATGAAATTTTACTTAGTAATCATTTTGTTTTTATGGTTACCAAAATGGAGCACTTCAATCACAATGATAAGTTCTTCTTGTGTTTAATATAACTTGCATAAAGCTTAACTACCTCAAGAAATGGTTTAAGTTCATTAAGACTGAAGGTGGTTGGTAAAAACAAACTTGGTGGTTGTAAAATATAAGAAGAGGCTTGCAAGCCAAAAGCGCTTGTCGAGGTTATAGTCTAAATGTGATAGTATCACTTTACTTTAACCAAAGATGTTGATGTGATGAATGAGTTGTTGCCTTCCGAGAAGGGTTTCAATTAACGCAAGATGTGTTCTTCGTCCTTAGTTTATTACAAACTTATAACAACATAGTTGGTTCGTTAGAGATCTCACAGTTTATTCGATGGCTATTAACAACTAATAAGTAACATAGTTTAATTTTGATCGATGGCTATTAACAACATAATAATTAATAAGTAACATTCTCTAGATTTATATCTTTTCTTAGAAATCTCTAGATTCTCTCTCGTTTACATGGCATAGTTTTTTTCTTAATTATATGGATTTATAAATCAGTACTATTATTTTCTATACGGAGTCAAAAAAAAAATTTTTGAGCAATTCACAGATACTCTTCTTATTATTTCGACAACATTCTTTTAAAAATTCTAAAAAAGGTTTTTTTAACTAAACAAGCCTAAACGACACAAAACCTATAAAGAGACTACATCTAGCAAGTTATTTTCTTCCATTCGGAGGTCCACACACATCGTGGCCTTTCTTTACATCGTTCCATAATCCATCAATGTCAAAGAACTCGCCATTAAATATATCCGACCAGTCTTGGTCCGTCATCAATATGTCCGATCTTGAATCTTGACCTTGGTCATGAGTGAGACTTGGTGTAATTTGCTGTTGTTGCTGCTGCTGAGTAGCGACACTATGTTCTTCCTCATTATTGAATAACTCATCTATGTTAAAGAACCTGTCATCCTTAGACATATCAAACAAGTCTTCTTGAATGTTGTAGCCGTTGCTCCTGCTGGTCATCACCATATGGGATCTTGAATCTTGACCATGCGTAGGACGAGGAGGAGGAACACTCAGCTGTTGTTGTTGCTGATGTTGAGTAGCAACACCATTCTCTTGCGTATGAGGAGGAGGAGGAAGACTCAGCTGTTGTTGTTGAGTAGCGATACCATTCTCTTTCTCTGGCGTTGTCATCATGAGATACTGCTCATACGTAAATTCATAAGGCTGCCTTTGATGAGGTTGTTGATACTGCGGCTGAGAAGAGTCTACCGGGACTTGCCAAAACTGCTGATGTTGATACGCCAAATCATGAGACTGCGGTTGGGAAGAGTCTACCGGGCCTTGCCATTGATGCGGCTGTTGATAGGCCCAATAACGAGCCTGCGGTTGATAAGAACCCAGTGGGGCTTGCGGAAACTGCTGCTCAACCTTCTTCTTCTTCGGTACTTTCTTCTTCTTCTCATTCTCTTCTTCCTCTGTTTTCTTCTTCTTTGTTGCAAATGTACTCTTATATATCTTGCACAAAGCATAGTCCTATACAAACAAAACCAAAACAAAAACTCGCTAATCACAACAATATTACAAATAAAAAAACATAATAACTTGGGAACCAAGAAACACATACATACCTTTGCGTCATCAGACTCATCACGATCAACCCAATACTCATGCATTAACCAATCAGTTTTTACACCCTTTGGTTGTTTCCCCACGTAATACGATAGCGCGGTGTCGTGGCCAATAATGTTGCCTTGTCCATCAAGAACGTCTTTGGTAGCAACTGTTGCGTGCCAGTATCCTCCATTGTCTCCACGTTTCTGATTAATTCCACCTTTACCTTTCTTCTTCTTGTTCCTCTCCGATATAAAGAACCATTCTGTATCATTACCCTTCTCGTATTCCACTATTTCATATAAAAAAACATATAAAGATAAGGAAACCCTAATTAAAGAACGTAAAGAAATAAAGAAAACAATAATATCTATATGGAGACAAACCTGAGAGCTGTTCTGGATTAGACTCGTAGATGTTCGCTTGATGAATAAAAAACTTGAGCAATGAGTTATTGTTCTCTCCAAAGTAGTGTTCCCGTCCAAGTAGTGTTTCAATGAGGTTCTTGTCGTTAGGTGCATACTTATAGCCTGGAGGAAAGGAAGGTCTCGTCGACGGTGGTTGTGTTTGTGGTGCCGGCGAGGATCTTTCAGGCATCGACATCGAGTAAGTTTGGAAAGTTGACAATGAGAGATGGAAAGTAAATTGTAACTAAGAGATTCAACGTAGGTAATAATGTATTTATAAGGGTGTAATAAGATACGGATTTTTAGGTTTATCAAATCTTGGTAGAATAGATATATTGATTAGATTTAGTCATTTGAATAGGTTTCGAAATATTTAGGTATTATCTCTGTTGATAAAAAAATAATCATCGTCCGATGCATGTTAACATTTTGTTATTTTGCAACCGATAATTTCATTGCCTATTGGAATTTGGAAACCTTAACTTATTAATATTTTATTTTCATATTTAGGAAAAACAATAATTCCCTATTGGAATGGATAAAGCTTTGTCATTACTTATAGACTAAGTATATTTCTCTTTAACACAAATTAGTAACAAACGTCGATTACAAATGTTAAGTAATTATGCTTTAGAAAATTAGTTCTTCATGTTAAATACCGAAATTTGAAATAATTGTTAATTACAAAGTCCTAGAACAATTTTTGGGTTCACCCCTAGGGGTGAACCCAAGCATTCACCCCCTCTAAGCTAACCAATCAAAATTAGCCATGTCATCTAATTAAATGAATTAAAATAATTTATCTTATTAATTGATTTTACTAGTTGTATTTTTATTGAGTATTTTAACGTTTAAAATATAGTGACAAAAAAACAAATATAAAGGCTTTGAACTTATTATGTAATCAAAAAAAAAATGTTGGCATGTTTTCAAGCTTTCATAAAAAAAAAAAAAGAAGATTTTTCTGTTGGAAAAAAAATTGTAAACAAAAATAAGATATTAATTACAAATAACCTTCAGGATTATGCAATCTTCCCTGGCACTGTGTAAACAACATGAATTTATCGTTTCCTTTAATAGAAACATAAATTGGACCAGCTTTTATTGGTTTTAGTCCAACTAAAAGAGATAAGGTTTACTTAAAGAATTGGGCCATTGAAATATATAATTGAGGCCCATATTCAACAATGTTAATTTGTTGTATTTACAATTACATTTTATACAAACACAAACAATGGGTTAAAAAAAGCTTCGTGCGTACGTGTGGTTTAGTCGATTATTGAGAAATATAGTTTCATCTCTCCGACTCTACGTTGACTTGCTAACGTTTACTTGACGGATACGGATACCATTGTCAAACTACTTATGGATCAAACTGAATATTTAAATAAACTTAAATCAGTTAATATTAATATTTTTGAAATTCTCCCTAATATAAATTAGTTTTAAACAAAAAATTAATAAATTTTATGTATCTTTGCGGGTTAAAAAGGTTATGGTCTTGTAGACCTATGATTCTTTTTTTTTAATTAAACCCCTTTAATGGGCTGGACCCTTAAAGGGCCGGTTTCGGATTACAAAAAACGAACAATGGTTACCCAAGAAGGAAATCGGAAAACTCGCCGGAAAAAGGACAATGGATCGGATCTTGCTGTATAACCGGAGGCAGAGAATCAGGGCACTAGCACCGGCGAATTCGAGGAGCACGGCGTTGCGGCAAGGTCGGGGGGATGAGGTACTCCGATGAGAGAATCCAAAACCCACCATTGAAACCAAATCGCCGACACACCAACCTGCTACACTCCTCCCGGAATACCCAACTTTCCGACAACCGGTTCCGAGAAGTCGGATCCCATGCGTAGCAATCCAACAACCGGGAATCTATCCCCGCCGACCAAACTAGAAGCCTCGACGTCCTCTGAGCCAAATCATTCCAAACCGGACCGGTGGAAACCACTAACGACGGATTTGGCAGATGCTTGGCTCAAACAAACAAACCAGAACCAAAACCCGAAGGGGCAAATAAAGGATCCGAAAAAAACCTACCGTGAACCACCGTGTCTGAACAACGAACTCACCGATTCTTCACTAACTTCCGCCGTAGCCACAACAACCAAAGGGACGGTTGAGCCAAGAGAGTCTCCGATACAACCGCCAGCGTCTTCAACCAGGGTCATGCGCAGCGGAACTCTCCGCCTTCCGATTGGAGCCGCCGCTACGTCAGTGAAAAAGACACCACACCACCGCCATCGGAGGAAAGAATCGCCCATCACCAAAGCTCATTTGTGCAATCACCCACCATCACTAAGCTCTACCAGAAAGAAAGACAGGGGGAGGGAGAAGCCACACACGCACCGGCGAATCCGGCGAAGGTGCTTCCCCCTCGAGCAGGTTGACGGCTAGGGTTGAGAAGAGAGAGGAGAGAGCGATTTTGTTTTTGGGCCTCTCAAAGGCCAATTTTTTTCCAGACCTATGATTCTTTATATGTTAAAATATTGATTATGGTCTTTATTTAAAACATTATATGTTATATAAATAATATTTTTAAATAGTTATATATATATATATATATATATATATAGATCATTATCCATATCGAAATATTCAAATTTTAACAAAAAAATCAAAATATCTGAATATTTACTATTCATATATAGATATTTTAGCCTCTATAAATATCCTAATTTTTTTTAGCGAAACGAGCCAATTTTGGACCCTCCCTTCAGTAAACTGTTATTTTATCAAAACCCAAACATGAAAAATAAAAAAATATATATCAAAAGCTAGTAATATGATTAAATCGATTGTATTGGTGGCTTTACCTCAAAGAGACTTTGTGCCAGGTCAAAATCTCGTGAACAAAAATTTAATATTCATAAAAAAATTTGGACAACGTGTGACATTGTTTCTTTTATAATCAGCAATGCAATAAAGTACATAACACAATGTCCACATTCCCATTATTTAATCATTTCACAATGACCACGCAGATGTTGCGATAAGTGGTCGAGTTTGCCATCCAAGCAACAAACAACCTTCATTCTCATCCACACTGTATCCATCAGCTCCAGCATGAAGTGCCAACAACATGCTTGCTTGCTTATACGCATTCGAACCGATATTAACCGGTTTAAATCCTCCCGAACCGAATCGGTTTCTCCACTGATTTAGCGTCTCGTGCCTTTCCACCCGGTCTTCCCCTTCACAAGCCACAAGGTTTAGTATCTGCCGTCCTAAGAACAACTCTGACATTACTCGGTCTTGGCTTGGCGAGCCTTCGAGCGAGTCGAATAAGCTTGAGTAGTAATGTAGAGACTCCGTGAACCGGTCGAGGAAAACCGTACCGTTATGGTTCGCTTCTTGCTCGACTATAGTCATGATATCCGGTCGGATTGATCGTATCGTGGATAGAAACTTATCAATCGAACCGGGGTGGGCTAAGAGACGATGAAGATCGAAAACCGAATTAACCGCCACTGATTCTGAACCGGATCTAATGTCTAGCATTTCCGGTTTAAGATCGGACAAATTATTCAAAGCAATGCTCTTAAACTCGTAATTGACACCAATTGTACTGGCAAGCTGACCAAGTTTCCAACCAACTTCTTGAAGTTCGGTTAACGAATAACCGATACCGGTTAATCGAAAATCTGGTGGACCATTAGGACGAAGAGCAAGAGCTTGAATCAAAGCCGGCCATTGTAAACCATGGTTAAGTCCCAAATCAATAACATGAACCTTATCAGCCATAGCAAAAGCCTCAAGTATCGCTTGATTCGCCGTGAAGTGAGCGAACTTGAGATACGGACAAGACTCATAGAAGTGAATCTGTAATGTATCCGACAAAGCAACGTCATCATCACGAGGGTAAATCCGGTATATCCTCCTCGCGAGCCCTTCAGCGAAGTAAGTCGCGACCTTCCTCATAGCACCAGCTTGAGAAGACGCGAGTAACCCCACGTGCTTCACGAGCGCGTCGGCTAACTTCAGGTTGTTCTGTTGAACAGCTTCAGCACAAGCTAAAAGCGCGTGGACCAAACGCACTCCAGTTTCTTGAGAATCCAAAACCACCACAGAGCGCGTCGTGGACATCTCCGGTTCAACTCTCGTCCTCTTACTCCGACGGCTCACGTGCTCCTCACGTGGGTACACTGCAGAGCCAGCGATAGCTCTGAGATCGTACTCGGAGCCGGGTTTCTCCTGACTCCGGGTCGGGTCAAGATCCGAGAGCATGCTCTCAACCCAACCAGAGAGATCAGATGGGTTGTAATGAACAGTTTCATCACAAAGATTCGAGATTCCATCGCCAAGAACCATCTCTAACTGTTCAAGCTTGTGTGCCACGTCAGCCATGTCGGAAGAACGAACCTTGTAACCTAAAACAACCAAAAGCTCGTCAACTCCGGCAGCTTCTTCCTTAATCACCGTCGTCATTGGTGAACTCCCACCTTCTCCGGCGGATGATTCACGGTGGTTGAGCTCTCTCTTCATCAAAATTGACTTCTTGAATAATCTATAGCTAAAAAAGATCAAATCTTTAAAGTTCTTGTAAGCAGAGAAGAATGAGATAGAGAGAGAAGAGAGAGGAGATTAGGAACACGGGAGTGTCATAATAATTGAAGAAGAAGAAGAAAAATAGAATTCTATAATTTTTAAAAATAATGATATGTTCTTTTTTTATACAATATGATGTATGATTATTATTATTTTATAGAGATATAAAAAATGAAAAAAATATATTTTGGGTACCGAGCCAGCTTTTAATTGGAGAATATGAAAATTAGTACCGGCAAGTTCTTAAAAGCAAGAGCAGAGCCGTGGTACAACCGCAATCTAAAGCAATTTATAAAAGGAAATTTATTTACCTAATTTATTTTCTCTATTTATATAATATAAACTGTAATATATAATAGATTCCTTTCTCTTCTTTTTCTGCGAATAATAATATTTTTTTGTTTTTTAATTTTCGAAATATGCTTCTCGAGAAAATTCAGATTTTGATTGATGTAAAACCTGACATCATTATTTGAAACGAGATATTCTAAAATCTATAGAGTAAATCATTTTTTTTTTTTTGTGATTTTTGAAATTTCTCCATTATTATGGATGTGTAATCAAGTGAAATAACAGCTCTGATTTGGATGTTGGTATTGTAGAAAAATAATTTAGGTTAAAAAGTCCAATGTCTAAAGCCAACCACCACCACCCTATTTTTTTTCAACTACAAAGACATCCATTTCATTTTTATTTTTTGGGGTGATTAGGAGATTCACTATTTGTGTGTGTGTGTGTGTTATGTTATGATTATTTTTCTAATTTTTACCATCTTTATAACCAATAATAAAGAAAAGAATTCATTATTTTTCTATGTTAAAAATTAAATTAAATATCGAAGATCATATAACTTGTTCTCGTTTCTGGCAAGATAGATATATATACAGTTAGATTTATAATTTCGTAACTATTTAAAAAGATAAAAATTTTTGATAAAGATGAAAAAATTTTAAAACAAAAATCAGCTTTTATGTTATCGGATGTGGTAATAATAATATTATGAACTTATACACATTCTATATCATCACCATTTAATTAGTATAATGATGGTGGATATAATTGTTTGTTTTATACAAACGTTTAAAAGAGTCTTCACACACACAACCATAGTTCATGGTATATACAGATGATGTGCTGAGTTCACGATGAACTCTTGTGAAGTCTTGGCCATCATTGTTTGAGGAATCCGTCTGGGTAACCATTGTTTGTGGAATCCCATGCAAGCTTTAAGCATGTGGGCTTTACTTTTTATATAACATATAAGTACTTGCGCTGTTTTAGATAAATTAGCTTAAAATACTTATCCTTTGTTCTAGAGGTTATCATGAAATATTTATAATTTTTGCTTAAATGTATATCATTTTAGAATAAGTTACAAAAAGTATACACTTTGGTAATTTAGATAGTCAGATCAATTATAAAAAAAAAACAAAAAAAAAAACCAAAAACTCCAAATCTTTCAAATTTACTAAGACCTATCTTGATGAAATAGTGGTCGAATTTCATCTCTCCTTATTATCTTTCGATTAAATTATGTTTTTCATTTTCCATGGGTTATGCTTGATTATGTTTATTCTTAATTTGTTTCTATTATTGGTGTAGACTAGACAAAACTTAATTGATCATGTTTATTTTGTAGCCAAATTAGGTATGATTAAAATCTAACCGTAACCGTATTTCAAACGACAACTAGGTATTTTCTCAAGCATAACCGGACCGCAACCGTAACCATATAAATGGTTAAAAATAGTAACCGTTAACCGTAAAAATACATCAATTACAGTTATTGAAAAGTGCTAATTGTAACAGTTATTAACAATAACCATAAAAAACCATATGGTTAACCACATAATTGACCATACAGTTGAAACTTTAAAATGAATTATTTCATTGAAACAATATTTTAAATTATTTAATGTGTGAACTAATAAAAACTAATATGCTGCACTACTCATTTCCATTAATCAAATAATAATAATAAAATTTAATTTAATTATTCGTACATTCATGACCATTAATTTAATTATTTTTAGGTTTGATTAAACAAAACTCATTCGTCGTTTAACTAATTTACTATAAATATATGAATCATATAATTACATTATTTCATATTATAAAATAAATATTATTTGGTATATCATCATTTAATTTCTATTATAAAGGTAAGAGAATATAAAATTTTACCTATAATATTATTAAATGTATCATAATCATCTAATAACTGTACTTGTATTTAATTATAAATGTATTTAACTGTAGCCATTGCAACCATATATATAATCAGTAGCGGACCCATGATATAGTTCTACCCAGATCAAGCATAAGGAATTTTTTGCTTTTTTATGACTAAATGACTTTTGCTTATAACAATGAGGAGATTTTTAAAATTTGGGCAGATTAGCTGACTCTTCTTTCATGCACATAGATCCGCCCATGTGTATAATGGTTAAAGTTGTGGTTAAATAGGTTAATTGTAATAGAAGTTTAATAAACTTTAACCAAAATAACCATAACTGTTGTTATGTCTATAGCCAATGAAAATTAAAGTTTAGGTTATTTTTGAGTTTAGTGGGTTTTGATTACTAATATTTGATGGTTATTTACTTTTCAAATAAGTCAATCCGATGGATTATTGTTTATACTTATATACATAATGTGGGTATACATGAACATTTCATTCTAGCTTATAATAGGTCGTTGAAAAATAAGAAATTTTTCTCCAAGTATTTCGAAAAGTCGGTCTTAAATTTCAATCCATCAGATCTGATTAATTGGTTCATCACTGTTTATATTATGGGATCGAACCACCTGGACCGTTCAGTCCACAACACATGCATGGCATTGGCATAATCGTTTCATTATCCTTATCGATCAGTGTCTAACCTTAATTGATCCAAATAATACTCTCCTCACTTGTCAAATGAAATGTTTTAATATTGATGGAAACGTTAAACGTATTTTTTGTGTTTAAAACCTTGACTTATAAGTAATTAATGGTTTCCTAAACAAGTGGCTAGAAACCAATCTTGTTCGTACTTCTTAGATATTATCCGAACCAAGTTGATTAACACAAACAACCTATAATATAATGTACGATAATAATATCGTTAATGTAGATTCCTAAGGGGGTCATGTGCATTGTCAAGATTTTGACTTAAAATAGAAAAAGGCTAGACAATGTTAAAGTGAAGTAGCCGTTGTTGTACTAAGAAGGAATTAAAGTGGTTGGATTGTTTATGGTGGACCAAAAAAGAGGCCAATAATTTCATATATAGCCGATTTCGGAAAATTTAAAAATAAATAAATCGAAAGTTGTAACCAAAAAATTTGATTTACAAGTGTACCCTTAATCAAGGTCCACAAAAAATATGACACAACAATTTATTTTTTTGATGATTTTGGCCCTTCACATTCATACACATATGACACCAATTCATGTGTTGGTGTGGGGACTTCTGTTTTGCTGTATAATATGATCGATCGTTCCATGTGACTCACGTTCCTTGTCGCTCTCACATATTTTGCCCCATCTCTTCTTGAATCGATTTATCATCACTCATTTGCTTTTCGATTTGTTTTTGCTTCTCCAAAAGTGATTTTTAAAAGCGTGTGGTCCCTTTTTATGATAATTATTTCATATATATGGAGTGCATTAGAAACTTGTAATTTTTGGTAATGCAATGAATATAAGTAACCATGTTTTGTTTGTTCTTTTAAATGATAAACGCGTTGTAATTTCGGTAAACATTGAAAGATAAGGGTTTACAAACAAATTTTTCCGTTTATTAGTATTTTAATGTAATAATATCCCAAAAACCAGATATCCGCTATGTTAACATGTTAACTAATCTGATATCATGTTAGTATTGAGAGGTGTAAGTACTTAACAAACTATTATATTATGTAAACTTGCTCGCTTGCAGAATTTTTTTGAAATGATCAACCCTTAATGCCGATAAATTGATAGAGATATTATTATTACAATTAAGTTGTCGATGATAAAAAAAAAACTATATAAAAACCTGCCAAATATTGCTGTAAATTTATTGGGAGGAGCTCATAATCAAATCTTGGCCAAAGAACAAGAAGACATCAGTGTATCACCAAGAAAATATTATAGTTTGATATAGTGAGTGGTAAAATCTCTTTTCACCAATAGAATTGAATGTTCAACCAATCATGATACATAAGATTTTATTAGAGAAGACCCTACATTTTTTCAGAAAGAACATCACGAAATTTAATAACTTACAATCACAAGAGCAAAACTAATATATTTTTGTTGATAGCCACTACATGTCTCCACCAGTGACAAGACAATTACAAGCAACCAATACTTATAGAGTGCTTTTATGTTAATAATTTGGGATCCCATCACATTTACTTCATTTTATTTAAGTTTATTTGATGATTTCTTCTTGGTAATTAACAAAGGAATCCATCACATTTACTTCGTTTTATATCTAAGTTTCTGGTGGACACAATAAATATTCAACACGATCGTTTTCTCTGCATGTGTTACTCATGCATCGACGGTGCATTAATAATCACATGTTAAGTTCTTTTTGAGAAATAGTAATAATATTCAAAATTTCCTTCGATAGAAAATTAAGAGGAAGATGATATATATGTTTTATCTTTTGAATGAAATATCTTGTATATATGAACCATACAAAACATGTTATTTATTAGTTAGATAAACAATAATAGTTTAGGGTTTGAAACTAAAGTAAAACCTTAAAATAATAGAGATTCTAGTTTTGTATGATTTTTTTTGATTTGTTTAGAATAGTAAAAATGAACATGTGACAACTTTTGAGATGTTGATGTCAATGATGTGGTGATGTCTCGTCCTAGAGAAACCACTTCTCTATACCATCACTACTTATATGTAAACAAGAATAATGGCTTTTAAAACTTTCTTCCCAAATTAGTAAAGTTTTGATGGAAATAAAAAAAACGAAATTCGATGATTTTAATTTCCATCGGCTTTTCAATTAATCAAAATCAATTAAAAAGCTCTTTAGAAAACATGTGATCACAATGGTTTTTGCAAGTATTCTTTTTCTTTTTC